GTATATTTCATCCGTGCATCGTGGATCGGTTATTAGCGACGATAGTTTGATAGTCGCTTCCTGGAATAGATTATGCCGATTATGAATTTATAAAATTATTATAATCGGACAATATTGTCAAAGGCGGGCGCGGCGGCGGCATTCCATTACTGACAAACTATAATAATATTCAATGCTATTACGAATATTTTAATATTTTCATTTTTCTGACAGTAGACATAATAATTAGTGCAGCAATAATTCAAGTACCTATACTCGTATAAAACAAAATCCCAAATTCCCTATAGAATACACGCTACAAATTCAAACGGTATATTGCTATAACGTAAACAATTTTCTTGAATCGGTATTCAAATTAATTGAACTCAATATTATATTATATTATATTATTATATATCTAAATGACGAAGTAGGAGTTATACTACCTAATCGGAAAAAAAATTAGTTATAATTATAAACTTATAAATCTACACACTACACATCATATTTCTTATTAATTAATTATTAGTTACTAGTTACTACGAATAATTAGGATAGCGGAAATTATTATATAAGACTACTATAATATCTGCATGCATTTCCAAAAATCAGTACAAAAATAAATGTTCAAGTACCTATAGGCTATAAATATTATAATAATTATTGTAATATTCGATTTATCAAAAGTAGTCTCTACGAAAAATAACCATTCCTTCTGGATTATTCAATGTGATCACATCATTGTTTAATTTAAATGCAAATATTTGTGACCGTAGTTAACTATTTTTGTGTTAAATTGTACACATAATTTTTTATAATTGTACGGCGATACTGTTCATCATGGCAAATAAAAAAAATTCGCTCAAAAGAAAACAATCGTCTAAAAAATTTATCACAATGACACTTGCACTAAAACGATCAAAACAAACTAGGTAAGTGACCTAAATTACATATAATTTATTATTAAGAGGACGCTACACATGTATAAATTCGTACTTGAAAACCGTTTCGCGCGGGAAAGACCCGAGAAGGCTACAGTCATAACTAAGGAATGAAATTTTCACCAAATAATAAGTAGAACATGGACTGTGCAACCTCGTTTTTAATTTTTCGATGTCACATCTACAAAAAAAGTTAATCAACTCTAAAAAACACAAAAATAATAGTTTTTAAAACACTAAGAACTTTTTTTGTAGAAGTGATATCGAAAAAATAAAAACGAGGTTGCACAGTCCATGTTTTCCTTATTATTTTGTGAAAATTTCGTTACTTAGTTATGACTGTAGCCTTCTCGGGTCTTTCCCGCGCGAAACAGTTTTTATGTAAAGATTTCAATTTTATTGTATATTGTTTACCGTAGTGTGCTGCTGCCCTACGGTCGTTACGACATCGAATACGATTTCCCCCACCACGATAGACTGCAATTAGCGCGCTATGGTTATCGGTAATCAGCGCGCCCGTAATAGTTTCCAGGAATAGCTCGATATGAAACAATTTAATTTTGGTGACTGGCTACTGCCAATATTATAATAGTATAATCTACTGCTGCGACTCGCGCCTGTGACACGGCGGAGGACGCGCACTACATGCCTAGCGCTTCAACACCCAACACTGTGTAATTATTATTGTTTGTTGAAAAATTGAATTTTTGTGAGTGGTTATTTTGTGATAAATATGTCACCCAAAAAATTCCGTACAAAAAAAAGGACAGTTAAAAAAAACCGTCAACGTATGAAAGATTTAAAAAATAAAAAAGGGTTGTAAGTAATTTTCTAATTGAGCTTTATTACAACTTAAAATGTAGACATTTTACCAAATATGTTATATTTTATACAATTTTATTTTAAAAATAATTCATAGAAAATCTATATCGACTAGAATTGACATTGAAAAAACAGAAGAAACTGTTGAGTCAAATGATAAACTAGTAGATTCTTTCTCGGGGTAAGTTATTACTATTATGTGTTTAAATACTATTTATATTTTAAAGGACCACGCAAACGATTCTAAGCGTAATGGTGTTTTATACTTTCTATTTTTAAAGATATTTATTTTGACTATTTTTATAGTACCAACTAGATTAAATTTGCTACAGCACTCAGATCGTAGACAGTCGTTACAGACCAAAAAAAAAAATGCATCACATCATTGTTAGAACCAATAAATTCATCGCACCGCTAAGTTTTAAATTATATAAAAATTCAAAAAACCTGCATGATTACAGTTTCAAAGTTTAGAATTGTGGTTCTCAATTCATACGTTGTGCTAGGAAAGCTATATGTTATATAATAAGCTAAAACGTTAATAATTGTGGTTGAAATATAAATTATAATTGATTTATAAAAATATAATTTTATTTGAGTACCTAAGTCCTAATTAATTTCAGTTTAATCACTGATGATACTAGAGTATTAGAAGATTATACACCAATATCCAATTTCAATATTAGTGAAAATAATATTCAATTGGATAATACATTTGTTGATAGTAGTTCTCCGACTCAAGGAACCAACATAAATATTTCAACTATGTAAGTCTAAAAATATGTGTGATTGTATTTATATATTAAATCTTTTAATAACATTAGCATTTAATAATCTAAAAACAACAAAAAAATATTTGTATAGAGAAAATATTCTATTTTCTAATGAAAAAGGCTCAAATTATTACGATGATGTTCTAGTTCAACAACTATAAGTTTTTATTTGAATATTTTTATGTATTCCTAAAACCGAAATAATAAAAAAATTATAAATATTTTATTTGTAATAATATTATAATTGTATTTATTAGGGATTTTAGTATATCTTCACATTCGTTGACTGATGTGACTGAAAATGATGAATCAACATCCTATTCGTAATATTTTTAATTAGTTAAATAAAATACCTAATAATCTTTTATTGAAGACATTTATTTTTAAATATTAGGACTTTGTCTGGTCGAAGGATAGTTGATATAAAATACTTAATTGATCAAGTACAAACTAGACATGTAGGTGGGTTTGATTGCTCATTTGTTGATATGGACTATCAATCGGAAAGTATATATGGGTTTCAAACCATCATCACTTTTAAATGCAGAGTATGTAATATCAATAAAACCTTGTATTCCGAAAGATGCAATGAAACTATGATTCCAATTAACAAAGCTGTCGTAAATGCTTGTCAAACAATAGGTATATTGGTTTTAAATAATGTAAATAGTAGACATGAGCGAATAGTGAATACAATATTATTATTATTATATAAAACAAGGAATAGGACATTCTCAAATGTCAGAACTAGCAGCGTCGTTAGAAATGCCATCATTATCATGTAATGCATTTCATAGACTACAAACCGAAGTAGGATCCATTCTAAAAAATTCTGCATTTGACGAAATGAAAAAAGCTGGTGACGAGGAACGCAAAATGGCATTAGAATGCGGAAATGTCGATAGTGATGGAATTCCCATGTGTACCGTAGTAGCCGATGGACAGTGGTCCAAAAGATCATACAAAACTAAGTATGATGCTCTGTCTGGAGTGGTAAGAATGTATTATATTAAAGATATTCAAAAAAAAATTATGACCGGCTAAAAATGATAAAACAAGTTATATTGGTTATTTAATTAGGCAACTATAATTGGACTTAAAACACAAAAAGTGTTATTTGTTGGTATCCGTAACAAATACTGTATGATATGTCAAAAATATAATTCAATAAACATAAAGGTTCCTGAACATGAGTGTTTTTTGAATTGGACAAAACCGTCAACCGCTATGGAGGCAGACGGAGTACTTGAAGGTTTTACAAAAAGCATAGAAATGCATGGTTTAAAATATAATCAACTCATTGGTAAATAAAAAAAGTAGTTTTTTGAATTAAATTATATCATACTAATATATTTAATTTACCTAATATTTAATAGGAGACGGAGATAGCAGTGTTACGAAAAAGCTAAACGAACTTTCCCCCTATGGTCCAACATTTTCAATTAAAAAGATTGAATGTGTTAATCATTTATTGCGGAATTATAGCTCCAAACTAACCACTTTAGCTAGAATTACAAAATATCCGATTCGTATTCGAAAACATATACTTACAAATATTCTTAGGTTCCGAGGAGATGTTATCAAAGCAGTAAGACATTGGAAATATACTGTTGGTCTTTCAAAGTTGGAAAAAATTAAAGGTTTGATTTTAAATGTTATACCATTTTTTGTCTAAAGTAGAAAATTATGTGTAAATAATAAATCGGTTATTGCGAAAGTCAGTATTTTTGTTGCAATAGTGTATACACCAAGAAACTTTCGATTATAAATATGATAAAGGTACATCCTTTAGGATTTATTTATTTATTTATTTTTTAATTTGTTTATTTGTAAAATAGTAAACATTTGTTATATACGTTTCAGAGATAAGAAAAGATTTGTTAAATGGACCTTATCATCGTCTAGGCCAACATGATAATTGTAATAAATACTTTTGTAACCAACTTACGTCAAATAATATGAACTTGGTGCCAGAAGCAGAAAATTCTGGTATGATGCAAGAAATTAAAAATTATGCATTACGACTTGCAAATAATTCCGAGAGCCTTCTTGAAAATAAAAATAACAACATATGCGAACAATTTAATGCAATAATAAATAAACATATAGCCGGCAAACGAATTAATTTCTCCAATAGAGGAAACTACAATACTAGAGTTCATGCTGCAGTGATATCATTTAACTCTAAAGAATATTTGAGGTGCATTCATAAAAAAATATCGAACTTTAGTCCAGGTGCGTATTTTAATACTATTGAGTTTGTAAAAGATATGTTTGTTGGTAGCTGTAATATTTAAGTTTTTATGTGATATTAATTTGATATTTATTATTTACTTCTATAGTTACATTTACATAATTTTTTTTTTTTTTGGTTTAGGAAAGTTTGGTAAAAAGTATTTAAAAAACCATGAAAGGATTTTAGAAAATAGTAGTAGAAGGCGTCAATTGTTTCCTAAAAAAAATAAAAATAAAAAACCAGTATCAAATGGTCCAGACGCAGACTATGGTATGGCAGAACTTCTTTCTGTAGATTTTAGCCCAGAAGAAATAGAAGATAAAAAAAAAAAATTTCTTGCCAGACTTGAAAATATAAATGTTGTACAAATTGAAATTGACTCAAGAGAGCAGACTGATAGTCAATTATGGTATCAAGAACGTAAAATTCGTTTGACAGCTTCGTCATTTGGCCAAATATGTAAGATGAGACCCAATACAAGCTGCAAAAATTCTGTTTATAACATTCTATACGCAAATAATGTGCAAGCAAAATCTCTTCAGTATGGAAAAGATATGGAGATTGCTGCACGCAAAAAGGCTGAGGAAACCATGAATTTTACTGTAAAACCTTGTGGGTTATTTATAGATACAGAATTTCCCTATTTGGCAGCAAGTCCAGGTATTGTATATAAGATAATGAGTTAATTGTTATCAATATTTTATTAATTTTACTTATGTATTATATATTATAATTTATAATGTCTATAGATGGTTTGATTGGGGAAGATAGTGTCATAGAAATAAAATGTCCATTTAGTGCTAGAAATACAACTAGTGCAATAGATGCTGTAAATAACAAATTAGTGAGGAAAAAATAATTAATATTTTTTACTTTTATAACTAGCACTTAACTTAACATAACTAATTATAATATAAACTAAAATTATAATTTAATTATTTTAGATGATATTTTATAATTGCTAATAGTATAATATACTATATAATATATTATATTATGCAAATACACTTGCAAATACATGTATTTGTTTTTGTTAACAGATAAAATATTGTAATATCACAGAGAATTCCATTAAATTAAGGACGGACAATATATATTATTATCAAATTATAGGACAGATGCGTATTACTAAAAGAAGTTTATATTATTTTGTAATTTATACACCAAATTGGATATCGGTAGAAAAAATTAATTATGACGCAACGTTTTGGGAGAATAATATGATAAAAAAATTAAAAACGTAAGAATTAATATATATTTTAAAATAAATGCAAATATGATTATACTTCAACCTTACACTTAATTTTAAACTACATTTATAGGTATTATTTGAAGTGCTTGCTTCCCGAATTAGTCAACCCAATGTATCCTAAAAGGATGTGGAAAACTGACATTCAAGATCCAGACCACATACTTGAAAATATAAAAAATAAAAAATAAATATTAAATCGTGTTGTTGATAAGTATACCCAGATACCCTAACCTATTATTAATTACTACCTACAAATTTTTAATAAATTACCTCTATCTATATTAATATTTAATTTGTATTTTAAAAAGGTAATTATGCTATAAATGTATATTAAGCTATAATATGTCAACTTTTAGTATTTGCGCATACATAATTTTTTATTTTCATTTAATGGTGTAACAAAATCATTGAGATTAATTATTGTGCTTTTTAATATAAATATCTGATCATGAATACTTATATTCAAACATATTGGTAAGTACAAAAATAAATACATATGTATGTATATTGATATTCTTACAAACTCAATATAAATCGTAAGTTATTGTACGTAAAATATTATTAACTCGAATACTTAAAATGTTTGTACAACAACTAAAGGTACGGTAGAAACTAGATTTTCTAGCCTACATAATATTGTTATAATATACAAATGGATATACAATTGGGCAAACAGTGGCTTTAATTAAAAGTTGGTACCTACGTGGATAAGCGAGAATATTTAAAATATAATGGCAGCAATGCGTTTACGTGTATAAATTTAATAAGTTACGCGATCCGCCACGGATGAAAGTCGAGAAAATAATAAACATCGCTCCCAAATGCGCACAGTCGTCGGCCGGCAGTCGACAATGAGTAGTGGGCGCGGCTTAAACGTCGCGTGCTTGCGGATCGCGAAAACACCTAACAGCGCATTCTCTTGGTCATTGCTCGGTTTCGTTTGCCCGTGTGGCGTCCTCTTAAGAACACGTCAATACCAATTTTAAATTATTTTTTAAACTTAGTGGTTTAAAACAAAAGATCAGGATATTTTATATGCTATTTAAATTGTAATAATATTAATACGATAGCCGGTAAGTATTGAATTAATATTATTTGCATGATATAATATTATACTTGAGAAGTTTCAAATACTTACCCACGAATTTTATTTTTAAATTACAGCAAAATAAATAAAATCGTTATTTTTGGTTATTTAAAATTTAATTTTGTCTAAATTTGAACATGAAATAACTTTACACATTTTTTTATATTTTTTGGTTGCAATAACCTAATAACCTAATACGTGGAACCTTGTTTTAAATTTTTAATCCTTAGCTATAAAAGTTGAACATTTTATAAATTTTTGACTTTTAAATCATTTTTAAATTTTGAATTTGATACTTTTAACTAAAATATAATTTAAAAAATGTGCCTATGTATTTTTATACTGTCCGTAAACAGCTCATAACTGATAACTGTACCTATATAATATATATTCTTGTTTATTAAAAAAATAAATATATGTAGAAGTATAGGTATTGTCGTATGGAATTATATTAATTTTTTTTTTTTTTACTACCTAATTAATTTTAGTTTAATCACTGATGAAATTAGAGAACTAGAAAATAATACACCAATATCCAATTTAAATATTATTGAAAATGTTCAACTTGATATTACGTCTGTTGAAAGCAATTCTCTGACTCAAGAAACTAATATGTATACTTCAACTCCGTAAGTTTCATAAAAATATGAGCAGGGGCGGACTGAACACTTGAAGGCCCAGGTGGCAAAATATTTTATAAGATATTAAAACATCAATAGATAAATGTACTTAAATTTTTATTATTCCTTATTATTAGTCAAATTATTATAAATGTTATATTATTTAAAAAAAAAAAAAAAAAAATTACAAAATTAATAAGTATTTTTTAATACATAAATATGTTAAATTATTTAAGAAATGAGTAAATTACTTAATACAGTGGAACTTCTTCCTATTGTATCTATAATTTTATTTGTAGTTGGAATAACATCAGATTCTACACTAATTAACATTAAAGACTCTAATAATTCTTCCTTCATTGTACTTCTAAGTCTGGTTTTTATTATTTTTAATTTTGAAAATGCACGTTCGCAATTCACTTGTGTGCAGGATAGAGTGAGAATATATTTATATGCCAAATATAAGTTTGTAAATGATGATGTATGTAAATTATATTTATATAAAAATTCTAATAAATGTGAGTGGCAACTATAACAGTCAACTTTATTTTCAGTATATTGACAAGAATTTTCAAATATATCATCACTTGATTCTGCAGAATTTTCAGAAGTATTTTCAGTATTTATAGTATTATTTGTTATACTTTTAATACAATTTTGATTATAAAATGATATAAATTGTAGTAACTCTTCTTTCAATGTGTTTCCAGATTCAATATTTGATTTTTGAGCAATAAATGTCAAATTTTCATCATTAATTAATAAAGGATTTTTTGCAAAGTCTTTAAAACGTTTTGGGTTTAATATACTTAATACATCATAGAGTTTTTCATTTTTCTCAAATCTATTTTCAAACGTGGTAATAAGTACATCATAAATTCTTCGATGTGTATTTACTTTAAAATATTCTACATTCGAAATATTTCTGATATCGTCTGATGCCAGCTCACCAGGCATTTTTTTAATTTTTGATCTTCGTTTATCTGGAAACGTTTCTTCAATGACTATATTAAGCTTTTTAATATGTTCAGAATTATTTTTACTAGATATAAAATTCATGGTTTTTTCAACAACTAAATCATATTTAGAAGAACCTTTTTTGAGGTCGCTTAATAAAGACTTAATTAAATTAATGACAGTAATAAAATCTAATTCTTTTGATTGGAGATATTTTGATGCTGGAGTGGTATAATGGAAAATTTCGAGAAATATAAATGAAGTTAGTATATATTCAAAAGATGTCCATTTTTCTAACAAGAATCTGGCATCTGAAGATGTATTAGAATCTATAGATGAATCAGTGTCAAGAAAATGCAGAGATTCAACTAAAACATTATATCGATCACTCGTTTCACCAGACACAAACCAAGAACCAAATATGCATTTTAATGCGGCATCTTTACTATTCCATCTTGTAGTTCCTAACTTTTGAAGTTTTCTTAATTTATCATTTCCAGTTTGATCTTTTGAAAGATAATTTTTCCAAATTCCAGTTCTTTTGTATGAATCAGAAAAAAAAACTGCAGTTTTCTATAGTAAGTTGAAAAGATCTTGAGCAGATTTACAACATGAAGTAGCGTCTGTTACTATTAGATTTAATACATGTGCATGGCAATGTGTATAAATTGATTCGGGTGCAACTGTTTTTAAATGAGCTTGAAGACCATTATAAGAACCACTCATATTGGCAGCACCATCAAATGATTCCCCAATTAGTTTTGTTAGAGGGATATTCAATGTATCTAATTCTTTTTTCACAATATTATATAATGCTTCACCAGTTCCAGAGGTTGACTCTACTAAAGCAATCATTCTCTCAATTATTTTACCATTCAAAACATATCTTATACAAATACACAATTGATCCATTACCGACGTATCCTGAGAAGAATCAACTTCTAATGAATACTGCCCCGCCAATAAAACTTCTTCTGAGATATGTTTCTTTATTAAATTACCAGTTATAGAAAAAATTTTATTTAAAAATGTTTTTGATAGAAATGTTACACATGAACCACGTCCAAATTGTTTTTTTTCTTTTTTTAATAAACTTTTTTTAATTGAATTATTTAAATGTGTTTGCAATACCGGGTCATATTTTGCTACAAGTTTCACAATTTCTAAAAAGTTCCCTTGTTTTAAATTTAAACTTAAATTATAAGCGGCTTCATTTCTCTTACTTCTAAATGCCAAACCTTGTTTACCGATTAATAAAGAAATATCTATAATTCTAGTTACAATTTCTCTATTTAATTCTACACTTTTTTGGCGATGACTTAATAGCGCATTAGTAATTGTATGTCCAGATGTAATATTAAGGTATGCCTTACAGGCGTCGTCATGAGGTACAGAACTTTCGTGTTTTTCTAATTGACTATAAAGATGTTTCAAATTTATTTCGATTCCATCTATAAATGGAGTACTACCCGGACGAGTAAACCCCATACATAAAGAACAATGAATTTTTCTAGTTATTGAATTATAAGAAACCCATTTTCGATTCACGAAATTATCATTTGGCATTTTTCTATAATATACTTTATTAATATTAAAGGGTATATTTATCTGAGGTTGACATGGATGTGCGTCAACAAAAGCAACTTTAGCTTGATGGTGACTACTAAATATAGGAGGAATAAAAAGACTAATTTTCGAATCGGTTTCAATTAGTTTTTTTGTACTTTTTTTTTCAGACTCGGATTCAGATGATGAAAAAATGTCATTGTCATTAATTATTACGTTTGATTGATCTTGTTCACTTGATCTACTTAAAATAGGAAATATATATGATGATTTAATAGTATTTTCTGAGGTTACATTGGATCGAAGTTCATTATTATCATTGGCCGATTTTTCAATTGGATTTGGTTGATCAGTAATATCGGTGACATTTTCATTTTGATTTTTATTAGAAGAATATTTTGAAAAAAAGTCTAACTTACGTTGTTTACTATCTGACCCAGCTGCAGATAATAATGCTGCCCGCTTTTCAATTTTTTTTTGAAAACCACTTTTTTGTTTTATTTTATTATCCATTTTAAATTGTATCCCTGTAAATGTAAATACTATATTTTAGGGGAAAAAAATAAATATTGTTTTAAATTATACTAATTAAATTTATATTATAATTTGTTAAAAAAATAATTAGTCATTATTGTAATAACTATTATTGTATAAATTTATACGAGTACGAAAATTGTCTTCATAGTTCATAGTCTTGTTTATACCTAACATTTAAGATATTATTTGATTTTAAAAACAAAAATTGATAAAAATTTATTGACACGGACAAATTTAGAGAGATATTCTATATAACTGGTTATAAAGTTATTAGTTCTGTCTTTCTTGTTGACAATTT